CTGGAGTACTTGGGTGAGAGCCCTGGCTCTGATTTTCATCCACCTTTCTGTTAATGCATTCCTTGGAGGCAGCAGGTAGGGGCTCAAATACTTGAGTCCCTGTCAAATACGTGGACAACCAGATAGACTGTGGGGATCCTGGTTTCAGCATGGGCCAGCCCTGGATATTGTGGTCATTTGGGGAGTCAATCTGATAAAAGATTGATTTCTGTCTGTCCTTATGCCTTTCAAAAGAAATTAAACAAGAATGTGATCAGTAACATTAACTGTGGCTGAGATAAAGAAAAATGTCAAATTTAAAAGCATACAAATTACTAGGATCTATATGGAGGCTTTTTTTTTATTGTTACAGACACATAATCCAATTTGCATAGGTTGAGAATGCTTGGGAACTAACACAGTACATAGTAAATTAATAAATTTGGCTCTAAGCATATACTTTATAATCCACAATGAAATTGTTGTTTTATAAGAATATATATAAGCAATCAAAATGGTATTACTTGATATCCCTAGTTGGCTCTTACCAAGAGACAACACCCAGATTAATCTCTTCACTGGTGTCCATAATAACTAAACACACAGAGGGAAAGAAAGTAAACTGCTTTCATTATTCAAAGACCATCTATAATGTTGTTCTCTCCATTCACTTATAGATCCTGTTTCTTTTCTTTATTCCCTAGCAACAGTCTAATGACTGTTTCTCTATATGAATAAATTTGTATGAAAAGTAATTTTAGGGAGTGGGTAGTTAAAACAATGGTTAAGACAGCAATTGGAGATGCCCGTATCTTGTATCAGAGTCCTTGGGTTTGAGTCCAAGCTCCACTTCTAATTCCACATTCCTACTAATGTATACTCTGGGAGGCAGCAGGTGATGGTAGATACCCAAGTGCCCCTGATACCCACATAGGGGATATCAATGGAGATCCTGGCTCTGAGCTTCAGCTTGGCCCAGGTCCTTCTTCAGCCTTGCACAGCCCCGCTACTGTGGGAATTTGGAGAATGGACCAGAAAAATAGGTTATGTTTCTCCCTTCTCCCTGGACCTCTTTACTCTTAATAAATAACAAAATAATTTTTTAAAATTGGTTAGTAAAGGATAGAGAAATCTGCCTGTAACTGGAGGGGAATGTGACACCAAATGAGATCTATGAACATATTTTAAAACTTAAAAGGACACAGAAATGGAGAATGTTGAATATTCAAGAGAGACTTTAAAGTTCTTGAGAAGGAAGATGGAATCCAAAACACAATTGAGAAAGAGTAGTATCTCCATTTCAACAGGATAATGAGAAGAAATGAATAGACATTTTCACTGGTAGCAGGAATTGAAGGAGTATCCATCAACAGCTTGTATTTAGAGAATTCCAAGGGACAGGCTGAGTATGAAGACAGAAGTGAAGGAGAGGGAGTAGGTTTGAAACAGGGGCTGGCAGGGGTTGACCCTCCTTCCAGATGTGCAACGGAATTGCCAGATCTATTTGGGAGAACCTGCTATCACCTATTGTGTCATTTTCTACAGCTATGTTTCACAGCTGACCTACAGACCCAGAGGAAGAAGATACCTGTTTCTTCAGCTTATTTCTGTTGGGTGCAATGAAAAAAGAAAGAGATGAAGATCAGGACATCAAATTCACTGTAAGAAAATAGTCTGCAAGCCAATTACAAAGACAACTAAAAAGAACGCAAGAGAGGTCTTGAAGTCAAGCAATGGCCAGAGCAGTATTAAAAGCAATACTGGTAGTGTGCCACATAATGTTTCAGCCAATGACTCAATATACAGTAACCGGCCAATAAGATTATATCATCTAGTGATGTTGCAGGCATCTTAGTTTTTTAAAAGCACACTCTAAAAGTCACCTAATGACACATTTCTCAAAACACAGCCTTGTCATTAGGTGATACAAGACAGAAAACTATAGTTCAAAAATTAGTTGCCTGGGGAGAATGCTTGGCACAGTGATTAAGAGAACACTGGGCACCGCGGCTCACTAGGCTAATACTCTGCCTTGTGGCACCGGCACACAGGGTTTTAGTCCCGGTCGGGGCGCCAGATTTTGTCCCGGTTGCCCCTCTTCCAGGCCAGCTCTCTGCTGTGGCCAGGGAGTGTAGTGGAGGATGGCCCAAGTCCTTGGGCCCTGCACCCGCATGGGAGACCAGGAAAAGCACCTGGCTCCTGCCATTGGATCAGGGCGGTATGCCGACCAAAGCACACCGGCCGCGGCGGCCATTGGAGGGTGAACCAACGGCAAAGGAAGACCTTTCTCTCTGTCTCTCTCTCTCACTGTCCACTCTGCCTGTCAAAAAAAAAAAAAAAAAAAAAAAAAAAAAAAAAAGAGAGAGAGAGAGAGAACACTGGGGTGTCTGCATCCCATATTGGAGTACCTGGGTTTGAGTCCAAGCTCTGCTCCTGATTCCATATTTCTGCCAATTTGCTCCCCAGAGAGCAGCAGTGGTGGCCCAAGAGAGTTGATTTTTATAGCCCTTATCCATATTCCTGAGGAACAGTGATTTTTCTACTTACAACTTATAGAATTCATTATTTAGTGGAGAATTATGCTTGTAAATATCAAGTAAATTAAAAGTATATCATTGCAAAAATTAAAAGAAGAATAAGAAAGGAGGAAAGAGGGTTGGAACAAGGGAGGGAATGGTGGGAAATATCATTATGTTCCTAAAAGCGTATATATGAGAGACCAGCGCTGTTGCATAGTAGGCTAAGCCTCCACTTGCAGTGCTGGCATCCCACACGGGCACAGGTTTGTATCCCAGCTGCTCCTCTTCTGATACAGCTCTCTGCTATGGCCTAGGAAAGCAGTGGAAGATGGCTTAAATCCTTGGGCCCCTGGTGCCCGCATGGGAGACCAGGATGAAGCTCCTGGCTCCTAGCTTCAGATCAGCTCCACTCCAGCTGGTGCGGCCATTTGGGGAGTCAATCAGTGGATGGAAGACCTCTCTCTCCATCTTTCCTTATCTGTCTTTAACTCTAGCTCTCAAATGAAAAACCTTTTTTTAACAAGGGCATATATATGAAATTTGTTGCCCTTATATAATAAAAAATTTTGGAAAAAAAGTTTGATCCCTGCCACCACATGGGAGACCCAGCTCAAGACTGAGTCTCCTGGTTTTTGCCTGACAAAGCCCTGATACTGCAGGTATCTGGGAAGTGAACCAGCAAATAGGACATCGATAACTCCCTGCACCCTGCTTCTACTTCTTGTCTCTTCATTTCAAATTAATAAACTCAAGTTTTTTTTTTAATGGTAAGTTGCCTGAATTAGTTAGTTTTAAAATAAATCAATTTGGTTAGTGACAAGGTTCTACTGTGACTGAAGGTGGAGGCCAAGCATAAAGGAGGGCACTAGATATGTCAAGGAACTGAGAAATGAGGGTCTTGGACAGACAATGTACGGCGACAGGATTGAATGTAAACAGAAGAGACCAAGACAAACCCATAAATCGAACAATAAAAAGAGGTTAGTAGATGATAGCGAGGAAGTAGAAAATAAGCTGAATTTCCCAAATTGCAAGGAAATTTAAGAGGATAGAGCAATAGCGGATTCCACCCCAACTCCGCTTCTCTGAGAAGATGGTGATCGACACACCATAGTGAAAGAAGCAGCGCTTTCCAACATCAAAGATAAGTGTATCAGAGTCTTCTGTTCTTGGCTCAGACATAAAATAATGAGAAATTGCTAAGAAATAGGTACAGTTTCTATATGTGCTCTTTCATTTTAAATCCCAAACGAGCCTCTTTTCTGTAAAGAGTCTAGAGTGTTGAATTGGAATAAACCACAAGCACAGCCAAGGGAGAATTAGAATTAATCTGTAAATCACCAAATCTATGTATTATTCTATGAACAGCACATATAAAGTCTTATCAAAACAGAATTAAAAGCCTCTGAGGACAAAGGCCAGTAGTTCTCAAAATGGTGGTAAAGTACCTAAAATCAAAAGTATAAAATATCATTAAAATACTACATTAAATTTAAAGATAATATATACTACTTATCTACGCAAATATCATACATGACTTCTTTAATTACAGCAGAAACTTTAAAAGTGATAAATTCTGTTATCACTCTTAAAAAGTTCAATTTTCAATTATTCAATTTTAGGACAAAGAATGTGTCAAACTTGGAGCATACCAGATATCTGCGGGAATAGAGTGTATTGAGAAATATTCTACACATTTACTCTTCTACCTAAATCAAAAGATTACTTTATGGGGGCTGGCGCTGTGGCACAGTGGGTTAACACCCTGGCCTGAAGCGTCAGCATCCCATATGGGTGCCGGTTCAAGACCTGGCTGCTCCACTTCCGATCCAGCTCTCTGGGATGCCTTGGGAAAGCAGTGGAAGATGGTCCAAGTCCTTGGGCCCCTGCACCCACGTGGGAGACCCAGAAGAAGCTCCTGGCTCCAGATCAGTGCAGTTCCAGCCATTGCAGCCAACTGGGGAGTAAACCATCAGATGGAAGACCTCTCTCTCTTTCTCTCTCTGCTTCTCCTCTGTGTAACTCTTTCAAATAAATAAATAAATCTTTAAAAAAAAAAAGATTACTTTATAACCAATGTCTGTTAAGAATTTTTTTTTTTTTTTTGACAGGCAGAGTGGACAGTGAGAGAGAGAGAGAGAGAAAGGTCTTCCTTTTGCCGTTGGTTCACCCTCCAATTGCTACTGCAGCTGGCGCACCATGCTGATCCAAAGGCAGGAGCCAGGTCCCTATCCTGGTCTCCCTTGGGGTGCAGGGCCCAAGGACTTGGCCCATCCTCCACTGCACTCCCTGGCCACAGCAGAGAGCTGGCCTGGAAGAGGGGCAACCGGGACAGAATCTGGTGCCCCGACCGGGACTAGAACCCGGTGTGCCAGCGCCGCAAGGCGGAGGATTAGCCTAGTGAGCCGCAGCGCCGGCAAGAAATGTTTTAATTTATATCTACTTCAAATTGGTTTTCAAATGAGCTTAGATGTTATTTAACAATTAACAGATAATACTTACCTCATCCACCTGACTGACTTGTCCATGAAACCACTTTATTTAAAAAAATAGAATGAAAAAGAAGCAATTAATGACAAGGTCATTTTTGCAGTATTTATGTGTGTGTATTTACATGTGCTTGTATCTGTCACTCTTCATCTATCAAATATCAGTCCTGATCCAAACATCTCTTAGGGTTCATAATAAGATCAAACTGACATAAAAGTGAACATTTAAAAATATATATATAGTGATAAATTTTGGGGTTCTTTAATTTCCTCAAAACTTAAACACCTAGGGCAGTTAAGATGATTGCCTCTCACATCAGAAAGCCTGGGTTCAATTCCCAGCTCCAGCTCCTGACTCCCAATCTCCTGCCAACGCAGATACTGTGAGGCAGTGGTGTGGCTCAAGAAGCAGCGTCATTGTCCTCCAAGGAGGACACCGGGATTGAGTTCCTGACTTCGGGCTTCAGTCCATCCTGGCCCCAACTGTAAAGGGCTTTTGAAGAGTAAACCAGTAGATGGAAGTTCTATCTGTATGCCTATTTCTCTCTTTCACTCTCACTCTACCTCTACCTCTCTGCTTCTCAAATGTTTTTTTAAAACTTAAAAGCCCATTATTTATGTACATGTGTTCCTCTATTAAGTTTCAGAATGTTCAAACTGCAATATATTGAACATACCTTAGAAAGAGATTCCAAAATCTGGAAAATAAAGTCTAAATTAAATATATTTAAAAACAAAATTCCTCACAATGTATAATATTTAGTTCAGGTCTTTTACAATTTTCAACAAAAATGCACTACTTGTTAAAATATAACATTATAAATCTACAGTTCAAAATTATACATTTATACTTGATGTTTTTTATAAACTTCTTCTAGACAACTTCTTCTGGAATAAAATAACTTTGTACCCTGAAATATATCCATATTATTAGGACCCACAACAATTCACATAAGTTATTTCATCTGTTTTCTTACTACAAATAAGGAATAAAATTTAAATTCCTCCCAGAAGAGCATCACATTTCTTTTCATACAGCAGAAAGTACAATAATGAATCAGAAACTCTAGGAGTAGGGCCAGCAATGATCTAGCCCTCCAGGTAACTGCTTTGACACTGAAGTTTGAGGATCACTAAATGAAATTTAAAAAGTACAGATCTGGGGCCGGCACTGTGGTGTAGCAGGTAAAGCTGCTGCGTGTAGTGCCGGCATCCCATATGGGCACCGGTTCAAGTCCCAGCTGCTCTACTTCTGATCCAGTTCTCTGCTATGGCCTGGGAAAGCAGTAGAAGATGGCCCAAGTCCATGGGCCCCTATACCCACGTGGGAGACCCAGAGGAATCTCCTGGCTTTGGATCAGTGCAGCTCCGGTTTAGGGAGTGAACCACTGGATGGAAGACCTCTCTTCCCCTCTCTCTCCCCCTCCCCCATCCCGTCCCTCTGCCTCTCCTCTCTAACTGGGACTTTCAAATAAGTAAATCTTTTTTAAAAAGTACAAATCTAAGCAAAAAAGGCTGAGACTCTCCAGAACATATGTTAGGACAAATTAGAATTCATGAAGAAAACTGTTTTCAGGTATATAAGGGTTTGGAAAGTGGTGTCCATTGAGGCACATTATTTTGTGTAACATTATTCACTCCACCATGAAGTGAGATTCTGAAGTTCTCCAGATCTCCCTTCCTGTCTTTGAACCTCATGGGACATAACAGTATGTCAATTCAACCATTTGTTTTAGCTAGAGTTCTAAAATTCTCTAAAATCACAAAACCTAGGAGTGTAGTAGCTTTCGGAACTACTTCATCTTTTATATTCTATAATTTGAAAATGATGTACTCAGGTGAAGAGTTCTAATTTAGCATTTATGTTTCTTGGCCTTCTGAGCTTCCTGAATCTGATTTGTTGTCTGACATTAATTTAAGGAAGTTCTCAGTTTTTATTGTTTCAAACATTTCTTCTACTCTCTCATATTTCTTCTCCTTATGGTATTTTCATAAGGTATGGGATACACCATTTGAAACTTCTCAAAGCTTTTGGATATTCTAGTTTTGGTATACTTTATAGTCTTTCTTCTTTCTTTTCCATTTTGGAGATTTCTGAGGTATCGTCAAAGCTCAGAGATTCTTTCTTTATTGGGTTTCCAGTCCATTAAAGGCATTTTTCATTTCTGCTTCAGTGTCTTACTCTCTAGCATCTCTTTTTGGCTCTTTCTAGAATCTCTGCTAAGGGGTTCTTGCATAGTCCCTCTTTCTTTGCATGCTGTCTACTTGACTCATTTAAACACTTTGATCATAGTTGTTTTTAAATTCCTCGTCTAATAATTCCAATAACCCTACCATATGTGAGGCTGGCTGTGATGTTTGCTGTCCTTTAATACTACATTTTCATTTTTAGTACGTTTCATAATTTTTAGATAGTCATATTTGTGTTTCTTTTAAACTGCCCTGTTTTGCAGTTCAGTTTATTACATGGTGCCTCTCGTGAGTGGCTACATTCTGGTTTGTCCTGGTCTGCTGGGGACTACCACAGGAACTCAGTCCAAAACAATGCCCTCCCACAAATTTTGCTTAATACACTAAGATCCAGCAATCCTAAGTCGTCCTACAAAAATACTCCGAATTTGTTTTACCACATTGCTTACAATAAATAGAGAGAAGCTATCAAAATATTCATGAACTAAAAAATTTATAAATGGCATTGAAAATCATAGACAAAAACAGAGAATCCATATTTTTGTAAAATGCATTTCCATGAACCTTTTGAATTCCTCTCATTACTTTTGTAATACAAATTTACTTATAAAAACCAAAATATAAACAATCTCTTTGAAAACACAAATGATCTAATCAATGCTATACTTAAAAAATCTACAGCACTGAATGTCTGTAAGTAAGAAGGAAAAACACTGCTTTCCAATGTTTATAACTTCAAACACTGAACCTTAAGCTAATGTCATAGACAGGATATCATACTCGAGTGTTAAAACTTTACGTGTGGTGGTTTAAAAGAATACATACATTATGTTCCTGCTTAACTGCTGCTTCCAGCTGAGCTGCCAAATGTGAACAACGCATCAAGAATGACTTGATATCTTCTCCAACCTTAACAAAATATCAATTTACTTTTATTTCAGAATTCATATTCATATTGGTCAATTTTTAACATATTAAACAACTTTTGAAAAATATTTTGGGGTTTTATGTATAATTTAGTTCCCTCAAATATACAGGACAGGAAAACTATGCTTGAAATGCCATACTAGCAAATGCTCTCAGAAAAAGGGAAGAAAGCACATTCTCAAGGGTGGCCAATTAATGACATATACCCAGTGGTATCTCTACTCGCATACTCCTCTACACAGCCTCAGACAATCAAACATCACAGTCCTAAAGTCCAAGAAAGTGTCACCACTGAGTGTATGTACTATAAATACCTCTGTTAGAAAACGAGAGCCGGCGCCGTGGCTCAATAGGCTAATCCTCCACCTTGCGGCGCCGGCACACCGGGTTCTAGTCCCGGTTGGGGCGCCGGATTCTGTCCCGGTCGCCCCTCTTCCAGGCCAGCTCTCTGCTATGGCCAGGGAGTGCAGTGGAGGATGGCCCAGGTGCTTGGGCCCTGCACCCCATGGGAGACCAGGAAAAGCACCTGGCTCCTGGCTCCTGCCAGGATCAGCGCGGTGCGCCGGCTGCAGCGGCGGCCATTGGAGGGTGAACCAACGGCAAAAGGAAGACCTTCCTCTCTCTGTCTCTCTCTCACTGTCCACTCTGCCTGTCAAAAAAAAAAAATAAATAAATAAAAAAATAAAAGAAAACGTGAACTTTGGGGGCCAGCACTGTGTCATAGTGGGCTAAGCCTCTGCCTGTGGTGCCAGTTCATGCCCCAGCTGCTCCTCTTCAATTGAGCTCCCTACTAATGGCTTGAGAAGGCAGAAGATGGACCAAGTGCTTGGGCCCCTGCAACTGTGTGGGAGACCCAGAAGAAGCTCCTGGCTTTATAGCTCCTGGCCACTGGAGCCATTTGGGGTGCGAACCAGTGGGTGGAAGACTCTTCTCTGTCTCTCCTTCCCTATGTCTGTAACTCCACATCTCAAATAAATAAAATCTTTAAAAACAGAAAAAGAAAATGTGAACTTTGATTCTAACTGTAAGTATACTTGCCAAGAGCTATACAGTTTCTCAATCTTGTCTAATGGGAAATATAAATACTTATGGGAATAAATAGCTACAGATTAAATGTCACAATTACTAAATATCTTCTAACAGAACAGTGATTTGCAAACAGAGAATTGACTTATGAAAAACAAATCATAGATGCTGATATAGTTAGGATTCTCAGAGTGGTTCTCCACGAAGGGGGTGTTCCCTAAACATTACATTTTAAACATGCATGTATTGGTCATGGTAAAGACCTACAATTACCTAGAAGAGGGAAAACTGAAATAATAATCCAGGAGAGTGAGAAAATGAATGAACTAGATTTACTAAATCACCAATACACAACATTAGCAGGCTTGACCCACATTCAAGTTCCAAAAACAGACTGATTTGATCAGGCTTGAAGTTTAACCAAATGAAATCAATGAAGCAGAAGAAAAGAAAATGTATAAGGGAGTGATAAGAGTGGATCACAGCAGGTTGGCGCTGTGGAATAGTAGGCTAAACCTCCAGCTGTGGTGCCGGTATTCCATATGAACACCAGTCTATGTCAGGCTGCTCCTCTTCTGATCTAGCTCTCTGCTATGGCCTGGAAAAGTGGTGAAAGATGGCTCAAGCACTTGGGCCCTTGAACCTGCAAGGGAGACCTTGAGGAAGCTCCTGGCTCCTAGCTTCAGATCAGCCCAGCTCCAGCCATTGCAGCTATTTGGGGGGTGAACCAGTAGAAGGAAGATCTTTGTTTCTCCCTCTCTCTGTGACTCTACCTCTCAAATAAATAAATGTTAAAAAAAAAAAAAGGTGGACCACAAATTTTAAACTGGGTAAGTAAGGACATGAAGAGGAGTTGGGACAATAAAAAGGCAGTGGAATGAATGGAATCAAAGGCTTTTTGGTATAAATTAATATACAGACTTTGAAGGAAAAGATAGGAAGTAGTGGCCAATGACAGATATTAAAATTTAAATTATAGAACAATTATTGTTAACAGCAAGGACTAGGAGATGTCACCTTAGTCATTTAGTGAGAGAAATTGAATGGAAGATAAGATCTCTGAAGGAAAGGAAATCAAAATTAACTAAAATGCTAGAGTATTTGAAAAGCTTTTATATGTGTATTGAAATCATCAAGAATTATGACAACAGGAGTGTTATAAGTAGAATATATTACAATATTGGCTACTAGTCACCTACTCTATATTGATTTTTCTTTTTTCCCTTACCAACATGACCTCAATTTTATTGAGGATAGGAATATACAGTAAATAATAACAATAATAAACTTATTGGCCTTATTTACTCATAAGGGTAGTCACATATCCCAACCAGGCCAATAAGCTGGGGAGCACTACCAGAAAGACCCTTAGAAGGGGTTCAAAAATATTACTTAAGATTAGGATATAAAAATACAGGAGCAGTCTTCACTTCAGTGTTAATATCACAATAAGAAAAAATATAGAGTAAGAATTTTTACGCTTTCCTTAAGAATACCAAAAAAAAAAAGATAACACAAGGAAGACTTGTGAGTTAAGTCCACAAAAGAGTAGGCACTTTGTAGATGGACAAGGTAACAAAGCCATTTCCCACCTAAAGAGAGAACAGTGGAAGGAAAGGTCTTTAGCTCAGTATATCCAGTCTGAAATCTGAAAGAATGATGAAAATTGAGAGTTGCTGACAGCCAGCTAGCCTGCAGATGGAATGGGTTGAGGAAGAGTTAATCCTCCACCTGTGGCGCCATCATCCCATATGAGCACCGGTTCTAGTCCTGGCTGCTCCTTTTCCAATCAGCTCTCTGCTATGGCCTTGGAAAGCAGTAGAAGATGGCCAAAGTCCTTGGGCCCCTGCACCCCTGTGGGAGACCCAGAAGCTCCTGGCTTCAGATCGACACAGCTCCAGCTGTTGTGGCCATCTGCGGGAGTGAACCAGTGGATGAAAGACCTCTCGACCTCTCTTTCTCTCTGCCTCTGCCTCTCTTTATTTCTGCCTTTCAAACAAATAAATAAATCTTTGAAAAAAAAAAAAAACACAATAAGGTTTTGCCTCACCCCAGTTAGAATAAATCAAAAGAAGCTGGCAAGGATGTGGAGAATAAAGTACCCTAATCCACTCTTGTTGGGAATGCCAACTAGTACAGATATTGTGGAAGACAATATGGAGCTACCTCATAAAGCTTAAAATAGATATACCGTAAGACCCAGCAATCATACTCCTGGGAATTTACCCAGAGGAAATGAAATCAGCATATGAGAGAATTCTATGTACCCCTAAGTTTATTGCAGCTCAATTCACAATAGCTAAGGGAGGAAATCAACCCAGATGCCCATCAACAAATGGCTGGGTAAAGAAAATGTGGTATATGCACTATGGACTACTACTCAGCTATACAAAATAATGAAATATTGCCTTCCACAACAAAAAATGGATGCAACTAGAAACCATCGCACTCAGAGAAATAAGCCAGTCTCAAAAAGACAGCTACCATATGTCTTTCCTGATCTGTGGTAATAGAGTACAAAAAATAAATTTATTAGTGAAATGGACAGTTTGAGATTGTTTATAGCCCTTGTCTCTAGTATTGAGGAACACTTTTTTCCTTCTAGTTGTTATTTACTTAGTGTAGGGTTAATCTTACGATTATAAATTAAACTGAAAGTAGATCATTGTAAAAATTAAAAAGAAAGAATAATAAAGGAAGGAGGGAGAGTGAGAGTGTGAGTGGAGGGAGTATAAAGTGGGAAGTATCGCTATGCTCCTAAATCTAAATCCTAAATGCAGGATTCCAGTGCTGCAGGTGGAACCTTAGCCCACTATGCCACAGCACTGGCCCAAGAAAATATCTAAAGTGACTCAAAACACACATCTCAGGCCATCATCCCAGTCCCTTAAAATTAAACAGGATAGGCATTTTCATTACAAGTAGTCTCAAGATACTGCTGTTCATTAGTAACTTTTAAGGTAGCTACAAGATTTTTTAAAAATCAATATATTACTTTCAAGTTTCCTAAGAGCATCATTTTCACAGATGGGGAATTTATTCTCAGAAAATTTATGGAGTCTAAAAGACTAACCCTTTTCAGCATTAGTATCTCTATGTTTGGGGTTACATATTCTCACAGATAGTTACCTCTTCCTGTTCAGGTTCCACATTTTGTTTTTCTCCTCCTTGAATGTCTAATCTAAAAGTTTCTTCCAAAGTAGAAACAAGCTATGAAAAAAAAAAAAAACAAAGCAAATTAAACACTTTCATAATTTATATTAGTGCCATTAAACATAAAAGGTTTGTACCTATTATTCCAGGACTCTCCTAGCATTAAGACTTACTCCTATTTAAGCCATAAACTTAAATTTTCCATCCCATACCTCATTATTCATCATTAAGAAGCCAAAACAATGCTTGGCCCTAAACCCTATCAACAGAGATATTCTTCATGGCTGTACAATTTCTATGTTGATAGGTATCTAAAAAGCAAAGAATCTACCCAGAATAGTTAACGGATTAGGTAAGTTTTCCTCAATGTCTGACTTCCTTGATTTTCTCCTCTGAAGAGAGTAAGGAAAATAGAAATATGAATACCTAAGTAATGGCTTTTCAAGAAATTTTTTGAGTTCACCCCTCAAACCTTGAGCAAATTAAGAGAGGAAGAAGATGTACAATTTGGGACATGTTCAATCGGACTTGCCCCAAACGGTGGAGTTAGAAACGTGCCAGGGGATTCCAATACAATCCCATCAAGGTGGCATGTACTAATGCCATCTCACTAGTCCAAGTGATCAGTTTCAGTTCACAAATGATCACACTGATAGGTCTAAGAGTCAAAGGGATCACACAAAAAAGACTAGTGTCTGCTAATACTAACTGACAGAATCAAAAAGGGAGAGAACGATCCATCATGGGAAGTGGGATACGCAGCAGACTCATAGAATGGCAGATGTCCTAAATAGCACTCTGGCCTCAGAATCAGCCCTTGAGGCATTCAGATCTGGCTGAAGAGCCCATGAGAGTATTTTAGGCATGGAAAGCCAAGACACTGTGGAAAAAAAAAAAAAAAAGAAGACCTATATGAAAGATCTCTGCAAGTGAGATCCCAGTGGAAAGAACAGGGCCATCAAAGAAGGAGGTACCTTTCTCTGAAGGGAGGAGAGAACTTCCACTTTGACTATGACCCTGTAGGAATAAGATTGAAGTCGGCGAACTCAAAAGGCTTCCATAGCCTTGGCAACTCATGACTAGAGCCTAGGGAAATTACTGATGCCATAAACAAGAGTGTCAAATTGTTAAGTCAACAACAGGAGTCACTGTGTACTTACTTCTCATGTGGGATCTGTCCTTAATGTGTTATCCAATGTGAAGTAATGCTATAACTAGTACTGAAACAGTATTTTACACTTTGTGTTTTTGTGTGGGTGCAAACTGATGAAATCTTTACTTAATATGTACTAAATCGATCTTCTGTATATAAAGATAATTGAAAATGAATCTTGATGTGAATGGAATGGGAGAGGGAGCGGGAGATGGGAGGGGTGCGAGTGGGAGGGAAATTATGGTGGGGGGGGAAGCCACTGTAATCCATAAACTGTACTTTGGAAATTTATATTTACTAAATAAAAAAAAGTTTAACAAAATATTTCATGTTCTTCACTGCTCTTCTTTGATAACTGGTGTATTTACAATTCAATTCTGGGTCATTGTGCAAAGAGAAACACAAAGGAAGGGTACTTTTTCCAACACCAAGAACTAAAGTTTTTTAAATACAGAGAAGAGTTACAGGCATGAAATGAAGAAAGGTTTATCTTTAAAAGTTCGACTTCCAAGGGAGGTCCTAGTCTGGCATCTGAGAAGCTGGATTTTGGAAGTGTTCCCACCATGCACTGAGATTTGCAGCTCACTATTCCTGACCTATTTGTACACTGTGGTTTGTTCTCAAAATCTGTTTTCCTTACAGAAATCTGGAATTTTGGCTCATGCTAGGCAGACACTGTTTCTAATGATTTTCCCTAGTAGATATTATACTTGTATTATCATACTTTGTTGCAAGAGAATTTAAACATATGGGACTCCAAAGGTAGAAGACTCTTGCAAGCTCAGAGCTGGTTTCTTCCAGATTTCCCTTCATGTGTCACCAGTTAAAAATCTGAATCACCAATATTTACTATAGGTTGAGTCTTATGCATCCTCCTACAAAAATCAATAAACCTGGGAGTAGTCATGGAGATCCCCGAGCACAGGGACCAGTAACTGTCTTACCATCTCCAGACGTTTGGTGATCATCTTGATCTTTTGGTCTTTCCCTGTTAACTCCTGTGTCTTACTCGTCTGAATGGGCAAAGCGTATCGTAAAAGGGATTCTCCTGTTGGTGGAGATCTTAAGACCATTGGCTCCATTTTATCATGTACTAACTTTCCACTACGTTTTTCTTTTAGTTTATGCGACAATGGTGCCTTAAGCAGCCCTTTCTTATACATCAATTCTGGAACATTTGCCAAGGCAGCACTTGTAGATTGCAGGTACTTTGATGGCTTCATTTCTTTTTGGACTTAGCTTCCAAGTTACAGATGAAAAATTTAAGTCCTCCCTGTGAATAAAGCATAAGAGAGTCACAGAATTTGATCAATAAAAATAAAGTTATTCTAACAAAATTCATGTACTATATTTATTATTATTTCTCTAATGTTTTACCAGTTTTCTCAGAGTATATCAAACAACTTCTGGGAGCTACAATTATATTTTTGGTTATAATTACTTAAGCAAAATGAGCATGAAAAGCAAAATGAGTTAAGAAAGTATCTAATTTACATCAATAAATTATTTAATCAAAATAAACAAAATAGTTAAGGCACTATTGTCTTTAAGCTATGCCATTAATACACACAATTATTGCCATTGTACATGTGTGTAAACTGCACTAAGGAATTAAAAACTAGCTAAGTGTCACAAAGCTGTTAAGATTTAAAGCTGGAATTCCAGGGGCTGGTGCTGTGGTGTAGAGGGTTAGACTGCCACCTGCAGTGCCGGCATCCCATGAGGGCGCCAGTTCCAGTCCCAGCTGCTCCACTTCTGATATCTAGCTCTCTGCTGTTGCCTGGGAAGGCAGTAGAAGATGGCCCAACTCTTTGGGCCCCTGCACCCATGTGAGGGACCCTGAAGAAGCTCCTGGCTCCTGGCTCTGGATCAGTGCAGCTCTGGCCATTGCAGCCAATTGGGTAGTGAACCAGCAGATGGAGGGATCTGCTGGTTCTCTCTCCCTCTCTCTGCCTCTCCTTCTCTCTCTGTTTAACTCTTTCAAATAATAAATCTTTAAAAATAAACAAAAAAAAATTTTAAAGAAAGATTTAAAGTTGGAATTCCAAAACTGATCAATTTGGTTACAAATCTTGCTTTTCTATACCATTTGTTCTCCATATGAAATAATGTTCAGTTGTTTAAAGAGCATTTAGCATTTCATGAAAATGAAGGGGGAAATAGATGGATATGTCTGATTAAAAATGATAGAAAGGAAGGGGCACTATGATGCAGCAGATTAAGTTGCTACACGGGATACCCACAGCCCATATCTGAGTGTTAATTTGAGGGCCAACAATTCTGCTTCTGTCCAGCTTTCTGTTAACTGCATCTTGGGAAGCAGGTAATGATGGCTTAGGTTCTTGGGCCCTTGCTACCCATGTGGGAGACCTGGATGAGATGCTGGGCTCCTAGCTCCAGTCAGGCCAGCCCTAGCAGTTGCTAGCATCTGGGGAGTCAATCAGTAGATGTGTGTGTATGTGTTTGTGTTTGTGTGTGTGTGTGTGTGTGCATCCCTGCCTTTCATGTATATTTTAAAAAAGCTTTTTTAATGATGGAAAAATTATCAATTTCTGTGAAGATGATGAATTTCAAAGTCAACTCTGGGGAAATCACAAAGTGGAGATGGAAATATTCTTAGTAAGTAGCAAACAAAATTTAACTAAGAAATCCCTCAAAGACCGATTTGTGTATGGGGAAAATAATACAGGGATGCAGAGAGTGGAAAGTGCACAGACAACAGTGAAAGAACATATTTTTAATTTTTTTAAATAAAAGATTTGAAAGGCAGAGTTAGGGGCCAGTACTGTGGCGCAGTGGGTTAATGTGCTGGCCTGAAGCACTGGCATCCCATATGGGCACCAGTTCTAGTCCCAGCTACTCTACTTCCTATCCAGCTCTCTGCTATAGCCTGAGAAAACAGTAGAAGATGGCCCAACTGCTTGGGCTCCTGCTTTTGCTTGGGAGACCTGGAAGAAGCTCCTGGCTCCTCACTTTGGATCGACACAGTTCCGGCCGTTGCGGCCATTTGGGAGTGAACCATTGGATGGAAGGCCTCTCTCTCTCTCTGCCTAATTCTGACTTTCAAATAAAGAAATTAAAAAAAAAGGCAGAGTTAAAGAGAGGGGGAAGAGAAAGAGAGTTATCTTCCATCTACTGGTTCACTCCCCAAATGGCCACAACAACAGGGCTGGGCAAGCCTGAAGCTAGGAGCCAGCACTTTCATATCTAGGTCTGCCACCTAGGTGGAGGGAACCAAGTACAACCTTCCACTGTGTTCCCAGGTGCATCAGCAGGTAGCTGGATCCAAACTGAAGCAGCCAGGACTCAAATCAGGCCCCATGTGAGCTGCCAGTGTCATAGGTAAAAGCTTCACTTGCAAGCCACAACACAGTTCCCTAATTCTGTTTTTAGCTTTTCTTCAGACTGAAACTAAAATGTGCCCTTAACATACCACTATCCATACCATATGCCATTATCCCTATGGGACATAGCAGAGTCATATCAAGGTCACAGGATTATGAAAACTTTTAGAAGGAAAAAAAGCTAATCCTAGATATGCAATTTATAACATGAAATTAAACATTCATCAGATGGGCACTAACAAATCGGACGTTGCAGAATGGGTTGATGAACTTGAAGACACACGAAAGTATCCTGGAAGCTGAAGCGCAGAAAGGCACTGAAAAACTCACAGAGCAGGAGTGGTTTCTTATAAAGTCGTCCACTGTTAGTGTGACTGGAGTCCCACTAAGGAGAAGGGGAAGCAGTAAAACATTGGAATAATGACCTTTTCCAAATCTGGTGAAAAACATCAGTACAGACTCAGCTTGCTGGCCACAAGAACACACAGAATGGAGTGGGCCAATCAAAAACAAAATGAACAACTTGTGGAGAAGAAACCGCTGGATTTTACAAGAAATGGCTTTTAACACAAACGGGTAAGCCGCTTCAGACAGGTAAGGGCAAGGTTTATCTACGGGGAAAGGCAAGAAGGCAGAGATGTGGGTCACTTCAACCAAACAGCAAGAGAATGCTGCAACATTACTGGGTCCAGGGAGGGAAGGCCTAACAAACGCACCCCTGAAATCCACACAGAGCTAAGAGGCACACTCGGGGCCACCTGCATTAACAAGGCGGTCGTCAGGGGCTGCTGAGCAGTTACGTCACCTTCCCCTCCTACCAATCACTTCCCGCCACCCTGAGGGGCCTTTCAAACCTCACAGGGCGCAAAGCCCCGCAGCAGGGGTCGGGCAGGGAGGGAGCCACGCACACCCCGCGGCGGGTGTCCCGAGAGAAAAGCGCGGTGCCTCCCTCCGCGGGGGCGAGCCCGCCCGAGGGACGACCTCCAGCCCCAGAGGAGCCCGGCCCGAGACCCCCACTCTGCTCCCTCAGCGCCGTTAGCGGAACCGCAGCCTCCCGCCGACTCGCCACGGGCGCTGCTCTGGCGAGGCCGAGTCTAAGGTGCAAAACCATTTGCCTGAGGAAGCCGAGCCCCGAGTCTGCTGCGCTTCAAGTCAGAAGCCGCCCAGATGGCCGAGAGCCCGGCGCGGCGCCCCTGGGCGCACCAACCACCGCAGGGGCGCGCCGCCGGACCCCGTGGACCCGCCTCACGGGCACCGACGACTTCGTGGGGCGTCACAGACGCCGAAGACACCTGGTGCCGTTAACGTACGTCACAAATGCCGACACCGGCACCAATGATGACATCACAGACACCAAGGACACCCGGGGCCGGGGCGTTCTCCACAGACTCGGAGGGTCTGGTGCCGTTGAACTGAGTCTTCATTCGGACGTGGTTTCCAACGACCCTTCAAGAAGAGATGCTCGCCCTGAGAGGGCCGGGGGGCGAGAACACAAGCTGCCCTTGAGGGGAGAGAGAGTGGCTGCAGGGACGAGTCTAAGTCCAGTCGGCCTCTTTTTTGCGCAGGGAGGGTGTCCTTATTGAGTATGCAAATAGAATGGAGTTGGGCCAGGGTTCAGTGCACACATGCTGGTCATTGCATCATCTTGGTGCTAGAGGACACGTCTGTGCCTCATGAGAAAGTGACTGTGCTAAGTTAGCACGCAACTGGGTGGATTCGAGTGCAGGGCTGGAGAGAAACCGTGGAGCATCTTCCAGCGCTTTCGCTCCCTGACTCCCTGCCAACTCAGTATCAATACCTATTCGTGGTTCTTCAGCTAACTTGCAAATGAGATTTAACAAGAACCAAATGTGCTTACTGGGGGGCCTATCCTGACCACAGGGAGACAGCATGGCAGGAAGAGGTTACAACCAGCTGGTTCTATGAGGGAACTGGGTAGCGGTTTTAACCTTTGCAGAGGAGTGTTGGATCTTCCTTGGCACAGGGCACTTTGTTCTACACCCAAACCAGCATTCTGGCTCATCCTGCTCACACTGTGTTTCATGCAGGCACAATTTGTTCTCTTGTATACAACACACTCAAAATAATGGTGTTGGATACTACTGCCTCCGCAGGAACATCATGTGTCAGTCTTTGGGCTGTTCTTGGCATGGGTAAGGGTTGGGGAAAGACCCTAATTGGGCAACAGGGAGTATTTTCTAGTTAAGTTGTGAAGACTCCTTGCTCTTGATTGGTTTGGAGCTAGGTGGAACTCCCTGCCTAGGAGATGGCTCTGGTGATGTCAGGAGGGCTTGGTTTTGTGAGTCCTGCTTCTATCCTGTCTCAAAAATACCCTTCAAAATAGTTAACTGGGGCCAGCATTGTGGTGTGATGGGTTAAACCACTGCCTGCAACACCAGTGTCCCATATGGGCACTGGTTAAGTCCTGCCTGCTCTGCTTCCAATCTAGTTCCCTGCTAATGACCTGGGAAAGCAGATGATGGCCCAAGTCCTTGAGCCCCTGTGCAGTTCCTGGCCTCAAACTGACCCAGCCCTGGCAGTTACAACCATTTAGGTAATGAACCAGTGAATGGAAAAATCAATCTCTATTTCTCTTTCAAATAAATAAAAATCTTTATAAAATGATTGACCAGAGTAATTTTTTATTTTAAAAATATTCACTTGTATAATTTAATTTTTAGTAATAGATATGTTTAACAGATGCCTCAACAGATTCCCGAAAACTTGACAACCCTCAGGAGCTGGTTCAGGCTAATCCAGCATACCACTTTTTTTACCACTGAGGTTGACTAGGGACAAGAACAGGTGTTTTAGAAATAATGTTTCCCACTCTTTCTGGATATTTAAAAATTTATGCAATTTACACTTATCACTGTGTACTTCTTAGTATGTATGACAATATAGAATGATCAAAGTTATGAAACAGAGCCGGCGCCGTGGCTCAATAGGCTAATCCTCCACCTTGCGGCGCCGGCACACCGGGTTCTAGTCCCGGTTGGGGCGCCGGATTCTGTCCCGGTTGCCCCTCTTCCAGGCCAGCTCTCTGCTATGGCCAGGGAGTGCAGTGGAGGATGGCCCAGGTGCTTGGGCCCTGCACCCCATGGGAGACCAGGAAAAGCACCTGGATCCTGGCTCCTGCCATCGGATCAGCGCGGTGCGCCGGCTGCAGCGGCGGCCATTGGAGGGTGAACCAACGGCAAAAGGAAGACCTTTCTCTCTCTGTCTCTCTCTCTCACTGTCCACTCTGCCTGTCAAAAATTAAAAAAAAAAAAAAAAAGTTATGAAACAATATACCATTTTAAAACTAGCAGCAAAATAAATCTGTTTTAATAAAGAATTGAATTGCCTTTAAATGAAGAATCAATCAATAATGCCTAAAGCTAATATAATAAGAAATGCAAGTTCTGCTATTTTATATCAAGATGCACAAGTAGTTGTGTTTGTTATTACTACTGCTTGGCAAACTATGTCTGGTTCTCCTTTTCTCTGCACACTTTCTGACCATCTGTGATTGGGGCCATAAGATTGGTTTTATTATATTGAGAACAGAAGTGATGAGTCATTTGCAAGATGAGCATTTCTTTGCTGGTGTGATCACTCTTCCTTTTGGATAGTAATTGCCCTTGTGTAAGATGTAGCCTTGTCTTTGGCCAATTACAATGTACAGAATGTGCCTTCCCCAATGAACTTAGAATAGATATATAATGTGAATAAGAAATAAACCTGTAGGCCAGTGCTGTGGCGCAGTGGTTAAAGCCCTGACCTGAAGTGCTGGCATCCCAAATGGGTGCCGGTTCTACTCCCAGCTGCTCCTCTTCCGATCCAGCTCTCTGCTACGGCCTGGCATAGCAGTAGAAGATGGCCCAAGTCCTTGGGCCCGTGCACTCACATGGGAGACCCAGAAGCAGCTCCTGGCTCCTGACTTCAGATTGGTGAAGCTCCGGCCACTGCGGCCACCTGGGGAATGAACCAGTGGATTTAAGACCTCTCTCTCACTTCTCTCCCTTTGTCTTTGTAACTCTTTTTAAATCAATCTTTTACCAAAAAAGAAACAGGTAGGGAAGATAGAAGTAAAACATTCACAGGACAGAGACTTTGACTTTCTAGATTTGGTATAGATTTCCATCAATTTCCAAAGCCCTGAAAATTGATTTTGTTTAGTAACTTCAAATTTTACTAGTAAAATCTGGATGATCATGTTGTTGAGTTAGCATATATAAGTAAATCTGAGTGTAAGGCCGGCGCCGCGGCTCACTTGGCTAATCCTCCACCTGCAGTGCCGGCACCCTGGGTTCTAGTCCCGGTTGGGGTGCTGGGTGCTAGTCTCGGTTGTTCCTCTTCCAGTCCAGCTCTCTGCTGTAGCCCATGAGGGCAGTGGAGGATGCCCAAGTGCTTAGGCCCTGCACCCACGTGGGAGACCAGGAGGAAGCACCTGGCTCCTGGCTTCGGATCAGCGCAGCACACTGGCTGTAGTGGCCATTTTGGGGGTGAACCAATGGAAGGAAGACCTTTCTCTGTCTCTCTCTCACTGTCTCTCACTGTCTAACTCTGCCTGTCAAAAAAAAAAAAAAAGAAAGAAAGAAAGAAAGAAAAGAAAAGAAAAGAAAAGAAAAAGAAAAAGAAAAAATATATAAGTGTAGGCAAAATTTACCATCCATATCTATTATCCAGCATTTATGGAACAAAATAAAATTATCAGTGCTAGTGAAACAAACAGTCTAAAAGGTGAATAAATTTAAGCACACAATGTGTAATTTAACAGTGTTCTAAATCAGAACATGAAGGGACTCATTCTTCTACATTTGTGAGACACAGCTGCCATCTGCTGGTTCACGCTCTGAATGCCCACAACTACAAGGGCTGGGCTGGATTCTAGCCCAAAACTCAATCCAAGTCTTCCATGTGTGCATGGGTGGAACCCTGCTACTTAACCATCACCACACCTTCCTGGGGTCTACATTGGTGGAAAGCTGGAGTCATAACCCAGTATCAAACCCAGGAACTTAGTGTGGGACATGGGCATCTTAACTGCCATGCTAAACTCCTGCTTCCCACCTCACATCCCTTTTGTAAAAATTGTATTTGTGAGACTCAGAATGAAAACCTCATTTTCTTTGAAGACATAGACAAGCAATACCTAGAAATAGAAGGGGACCTTTTCATCTAATGAAAAATATCTGTGAAATACCTAAAACTGATAATAACGTTTAATGGTGAATAATTGAGTAATTATTCTTTATCATTTCAGACAATATTTTTGCTCTGACCATCAATATATAATACTGTACTGGAGGTCTTAGCCAAGACAATAAAAGGAAATAAAAGTTGGGACAGGCATGTGACCTAGTAGTTAAGATGCCCAAGTCCAGTAACAGAGGGCCTGGGTTTAGTTCCAGGTTCAAGCCCCTGATCCAGCTTCTAGCTTCCTTCTAATGCAGATCTAGGGAGTTAGCAATGATGGCTCAAGTAATTGGATTCTTGCCACCCAGGTGAAAGATCTGGACAGCATTCCCACTCCTGGCTTTGGCCCCAGAGTGTGCCCCACTTCCTCTCCTGCCTCCTTCTCTCCTCCCCCTCCCCCAACTTGCAGATAAGTATTTTTAAAG